AGACTGCAGAGCCTAAGTTTAGCCTCCAAAACCAGACCAAGGACAAGCACAGAGCCACAGACACTGAGACACAGTTGGACAACAGAACTAAGACTTACTAGAAAAAGAAATATAGAAAAGGTAGAAGAGCAAACCTGTGTGAAAGCCAAATCAATCATCCAGGTAATAATAAGTTCCTGCAGATTTCTGCTCCCTGTCCTTAGTGGACTCTAGCTTGTTAATCCTAGGTCGAAAATTAGTTGGGTCCCTTCTGAATGTGATATCTAGATGCTGCAATCATTCCCAGGAAAAATATTTTGATAAAAGTTGCAAATTGCATCACTAGCATTAACAATAAAAATTAAAAAACCACACCGAGCAGAAAGTCCTGCTACATCCCAACACTCCCAAAATAGGCCATCTGAGCATGACCCTCAACAACGACAAGGCATTTAAAACTTGATATTTCTTGTGAAATAATCCACAATGCTTTAACAAGATAGAGCAAAAAAGGAGTGATACTTACAGACAAGAAAAGATTCATTCCAGTCAGCAATGACTGGGGAGAATTTGCAACACAATCCACAGATGGCATCCCTTCATACACAATCACTCTGTCCGCTAGATATGTTGCCATTATAAAATCGTGTTCGACAACAAATGCAGTCTTCTTGGCATGGAGAATAAATCTTTTTATCACCTTTGAAGCAACAATACGCTGCTCAGAATCGAGGTACGCACTCGGTTCATCGATCAAATAGATATCTGCAGGCTGCATGAGTACAAAATGCTTGATGACTTTATGTTATAAGAAAGATTCATTTCAATCACTGAAAGCTAAACAGAAGAATTAGTAGCCAATCATTCAATAATATTTCACCAAGTAGACATCATTATTATGCCCAAAGAACCTGCATACTAAAAAAAATAAGTTTCCACAGTATATCCCACACATAGATCACACAGTATCAACCAAAAAACGAGAAATTAGAAGAAGCAAAAGAGAGAAGAGACAGAGAGCTAACAGTGAGCCACACCAACAAATAGGTTTACCTTTCCTAAGCACAAAGCTAATGCAACTCTCTGCAATTCTCCACCAGATAGATTCACAACTTCTTGATCCATTAACTGCTCAATCTGAAGAGGCTTCATAACATCTGAGATAAATTGGGGGTGAGTATATGAATCCCTTATCTTTTGATGCAATAGACTCCTCACACTATGTTGGAATTTTGGACTGATCTTCTGGGGCTTGTAAGAAACATTGAACTCAGGTATTTCCACATCAGAGCCTTCCACAGTATCAGGCTTCAGTAGACCAGCCTGAAATTTCAGAATAAAAAGTGGGTTAAGGATCCTAGACCATCAAAGATCTCTTTTCCAAGATTCAGCATATTGTGTTTTTTTTTTTTTTTTAACAATGACCAAAACAGTAAGTATTTTCCAAGACATTCTGATACTTTTTTTTTAGGGAAACATTCTGAAACTAGTCATCTCTTAATTAATGTAAAGAAAATACCAGCATACGAATAAATGTTGTCTTCCCCGTCCCATTTTCTCCCAGCATCACAATAATTTGTGAATCGGTAAATTCACCTTCCATAACACGCAGTTTAAATCCACCCTGAGTTTTCGTCATTGTTGGGTATTTGTATCGAGCATATGTCTCAACCTCCTCAGCGTTATCTTGAGGTGTCTCAGCAACCTAAGGAATCACACATGAAATGACTGATAATATGTGAAGAGCAGCTGAAAGTAAGTACAGTAAAAGGAAGATTACCTTGAACGTAAGAGACTCATCTCGAAAACGAAGATTTTCTGTTGGTACAAATCCAGCCAAAAATATATTGATTCCTTCTCTAACAGAGAATGGTAGGGTGACAACTCCATATGCACCCGGTTTACCATATAAGCAGCAAATGAAGTCTGAAAGATAGTCTAAAACGCTAAGATCATGCTCCACGACAATAACATAGCTGAAACACACAAGTAAACAACACAAAAAGAGCTTTCAATTACTTATTCATCCAGTACAAGGCCCTTACAAGGCTACAAATAAGGTAAGAGAGATCAAATATGAATAGATACCTATTAGGTCTAAGCAATGATCTAACAACTTGAGCAGCTTTGAGCCTTTGTTTCACATCCAGGTAACTTGAAGGCTCATCAAACATATAAATCTCAGCAGCCTGTATGGCAACAACTGCAATTGCAAACCTCTGCAGTTCACCACCAGACAGATCTCCAACATTACGATCCAGAACTTTATTCAGCTCCAGGTCATCACAAAGCACAACCTTCATATCTCTCTCATCTTTCTGCTCAAGCACCTGTCCGACATTGCCCTGGACTGCCTTCGGAATATGATCCACGTACTGGGGCTTGATAATAGCCTATACATAGATATGCAACATTAAAAAAGAAAAGAGGCAAAACTAAATAGACAAGAAGTGCTCACACCTAATAACACATCAAAACATAAATGACACAGAAACATAAAATACAGAAAATACTCAATACTAAAATAGTAGTCACCATTTTCAGTAATAAAGGTAAGCAAGGCTTTTAAAATATAAAGAATTAATAGAGTAGCTACCTTCAAATTATCTTCCAATATGCGAGTAAAATAATTTTGCAGTTCAGATCCCCGGAAGTATGTTAAGATTTCCTGCCAGTCAGGTGGGTTCTGCAAAAAAAACACTAGCAGGTGAATATGTAGAAGAGATCACGAAGCAATCAACAACAATTAGTGATATTGAGCATATTACATTAAACCTTCCCAAATTGGGCTTCAATTTGCCAGCTAAAACTTTGAGAGCAGTTGACTTCCCGATACCATTTGTTCCCACTAAGCCAAGAACCTGCCCTGGTCTGGGGACAGGTAGCCTGTAATTGAATGTGTTCACCGTTCAAAACTGAAAGATCAAATGGAACATAAATCGGTATGTTAGGACCCCAAACCAACAAACCTGTGTAGCTTGAAAGTATTGGGGCCATAACGATGCGTTGTATCCCTGTCCAAATCTTTTGGAAGATTAATGATCTGAATTGCTTCAAAGGGACATTTCTGCATCCATAATCGACACAAAGAGTAAAAATAAAACCAAGAGCATATGAGCAGCATGCAATGTGGTTGTGGTCTACATAAATATGAGCATATGTTTTTAATGTGTATGAGCAAGGAGGGAAAGGAGCATAGATTATAGCTGACCTTGACACAAATACCACACCCAATGCACAGCTCCTCAGAGATAAAAGCAAGCTTTGCTGCTGGAGAAACCTCAATACATAGTTTCCCTGGGAAGAAGGAAAACAAGTAATAAAGGTTTATTATATAACGTACCAAATCTATACATTTATAAGTGGGCCATAACTCTATCCATCAGTATGACATACATTTGACCTGCTTACTTATAAGCTTTCACAAAGTACAAGGCCTTTCTCCGTCATCTCATCATAGTTCATGGACCAAACTCACTTTGGGGGTTGGGGGGGGGGGGGGGAGGCAGCAAAATTTAGAAAACCACTGACCCCATGATAAGGTGAGTAAATTATTCCCTTAAACAAAATTGTCAAGTCAAAAAAAAAATTCAGAATAACCAACGATCACCACCAAAAATATACCACAAAATCTATGTACAACAACAAATATAGATTTAAGCAATTCTCTCAGAATTTTTCCAGCAGGTGAAGAAGCCGAAGTAATACTATTGCACCAGAATGATAAATCAGGTTATACAGAAACAAATGCACACCTGTCTTAACCACAGGACAGCTCTTCTTGCACTCCTGGCGGCATTTTTTTGGCTTGCACCGATCAGAGCTCACAATTGCAATACGTGTCAGACGGTCTGACATCCTGCTACTTCTTGTTGTACTAAAAGGAAAACCACCCAATAAGCCTACGCTACTGAGAGATAGAGCAAGACAAGTGAATGACAGTAATGGAAGCTACTACTAAGATGAGTAAGGATCTCCTAATTACACGAGATAAATAGTAAGACTAGTCATAACTCTTAATTTTTGCAAGACAATAAGCAAAAGTAACTCAATGTCAACCAGATAACACAATAACCAAGTCAATAGAAGATGAGCTACAATTTAAAATACGATCCTTAGTCATGGAAATGAAATTAAATATAGCAACTAAAACAGGATATGAATATGGCATCCCCTATATATAATGATGATATAAAATATAACATATTAGAAAAATCTAAAGAATGACATAAATTGGTTCTTCGATAATAACTACAATAGTAATCGAAAAACGAGTGAGGAGCCACTGACTCTACAGTTTCTGCATACAATAACAACACAAGTGATCAGACAGATCGATATCGAGGTTTTCCCACGAAATGATCATAATAGAAAAGTACAGTTAGGATTAAAAATAAATTTGTGATCACTGTGTTTGCCACATTATAGTACATACAGGCCCGTCCTTGAGCTGAGCGAAGGCGAAAGCAACCAAATTTCATTTTCATGATTCTATCCTAACATTTAAGGCATATGTAACAAAATCTTACAGGACATTAGCAATCAAATTTGACTCAATTATCAGATTAGGCTCAAAAATCACGTTAAATTCTTCTCTTTTAAAAGGATGAATAGCAAAATCCTAGCAACGAAATCGAAAGTTATAATCGTTCTTAAGTTCAGTAATTATAACTAATTGTTCAAAAATCCATCTTCAAAGAACCCTAAATTGACTGTACTGACAATTAAATTGAAGATTAACACTAGGTTTCTGAAATTGAAATTCGATTATTACAAAAATAAAAAGAAAAAAAAATTTAAGGTACCTCAGAAACTACTTTAATGGAGGAGAGAAAGCTCACAAGCCGCTTCAATGGAGGAGAGGGAGGGAGGCGTGCAGCGAACACGCGAAAAAGCTCTAAAGGGGAAAGAAAAGAAACGTAGGAGGGTTTCTTATCTTTTTTTTTTTTTTTAAATAAAAAATATTTTACTTTTTCCCGCAGCTTGTGAAATTGGACCAAAATTTACTAATTTGTTAGTACTCCGTATAATTTGCGTATTTCGGTTTGAGATTTGAGGGATGGGGTCATGGGGGCGAATTTGATAACAATAAGATACAGTAAAAAAAAATGTTCGCTTTATGATATGTTCTGGGTTTTCATGTAAGATTGTTAAAGGTGTTTTTTTTTTTTTTTACTTTTTGAACTTTCTGGAACTTTGGAAATTTTTTTTACTCTGCATCTGAGTTGTGAATGCTGCTGTAGAAAGTTGCCTTTCTTTTTTTTTTTTTTTTTTCTTTTTTGCCTTTCTAAGCTTCATATATGTTGTTGGATATTGTAACTGCAACTCCTAGAAATTTCTAGGAACTTTCTAAATTTGTGAATTTGTGATATGATGCTTAATCTGATATTTGACTTTGCTACTGTGTTGTACATTCTTGTGGTTGACATTCTTTGACTTTTAAGCCTACGATTTTGGGAATGTTTATTCTTACTTTTTGGATCGGAACATCAATTGTGATCTAATATGGTGGTTTGATGTGTAATATTCAGGGTGGATGTGGTTCCTGCTGGTCCTTTAGTACCACTGGAGCCATGGAAGGTGCACACTTTATCGCGACAGGGAAACTTGAGAGCCTTAGTGAACAACAGCTTCTGGATTGTGATCGTGAGGTTTGCACCAATACTTCATGATTTTTATATGAATTTTTAAACATCACTATATACTTTTTAATATCTTGATTCATCTCTTATTGTTGTAAGAAGTTGTAGATTTTTGAAAGACGAAATTCATGTAGTCATGTTTGGCTTAAAAAATTAAATGCTCACTGATATTGTCATTTGATAGTGTGATCCAGAGGGGGAACCAGATGACTGTGACCTTGGTTGCCAAGGTGGGTTGATGAACAATGCCTTCGAATATCTCTTAAAAGCTGGTGGCTTGATGCGAGAGGAGAACTATCCATACACTGCTAGAAATGGTCACTGCAAATTTGACAAGAGCAAGATAGCAGCTAAGGTAGCAAATTTCAGCGTTGTCCCAGTTGATGAAGGCCAGATTGCTGCAAACCTTGTGAAAAATGGACCTCTTGCTGGTAAGCCTTTTTCTTCTATCAATATAAGATGTTTCCAATGGATAGCTCTTTCTTTTGAATGTTTATGTTCCTCATGAATATATATTCTCCAGTAATGCACGAATAGATTTTATGATCATATCTAATTTGAAATGGAAGCCTATCTATTTGGATGGTGCTCCTGTGTGTAGCATGTTATTTGTTTTTCTCTTCATCTGATTGACTGAAGTGCACTTGCAGTTGATTAATTTAAGCTCATCTTGATTGCAGTGGGCATCAATGCTCGTTATATGTCAAGTTACAGAGGTGGAGTTTCGTGCCCATTGACATGCTCTGCTGATTTAGAGCACGGAGTGCTATTGGTTGGTTTTGGTTCTTCTGGTTATTCTGATATGCGTAAGGAAGAGAAGCCATACTGGATCATTAAGAACTCGTGGGGTGAATACTGGGGAGAGAATGGGTATTACAGATTATGTAGGGGCTATGATCTTTGTGGTGTCAACACTTTGGTCTCAACTGTTGCCGCAGCTCCTGCTACCTCTCAGTAAGTCAGTAGGGTGTGATGAATGCAGTAACCATATACCCATGCTACCAGCATACATTACTGTACATTTAATGTAAAGGAGTAAGCCTGAAACAAGAAACTCTGTATTCAAGGCTTCCTCTCTTCCATCTTTACGATGTTGGAAGTCTTTGGAGGGGAAGGATGTCACATAGAAAGGGTATAAAAATGTAAAACAGTATATCTCCGGTATGTACTTTTATTACAGGATCTGTACTGTCACTATATCAGTACATCTCCGGTTAGACTATCGCTCCAAATTGTTGGTTGCTTATATTTTAAAGTTTTTGGAAATCAATTGAGTCTCTCTTTTCTTTTTTAATCAAAATCGTCTAAAGTCTATTAGTGAGGATGCTTAAAATATGGCACCTTTTGCGCCATGGGACAGATTATTTTGACATGTGAGAATGTTTTTATCGTTTCGTAAGCTAATGAATTAATTATGTTGCCTCAACACATTGTGTCTGATAAATGGAATTTAAGTTCAATATTATTAAAAAGTGGAAAGATAGATCTACTTGAGCAGTTGAGCGACATACTGAGAAAAAACATCTTGATCTATGCATTGGACATTGTACAGCACTTGTTTTGAGATTTATACCTAAAGAGGCATCATTTAGGGTTCCTCAAATCCCAGAAGATGTGTCGAAACAATTTGTTGTGATCGCAATCCGTGCATCCACAACAAACTTGAGGAAACCGAAACTAAAACCTTCAACTTTTCAAACTGTCAACTGATTAAATAACCCCGCACAACTGCATCAACAGCCTAATAATAGTGGATTGTAGCGTTTCCTTTGTTAAGGACCTAAGATGACTGTGCTGAATGAAAGGGAAAAAAAGAAGGTTGTATTCGGCTAAAGATTGTCATTAGATCAACAGATAATGATCACGCAAATTGTCTAATTTGACATTATTCTGATAAATGCTACAATAATTACTTGCATTTTGGTGTTTAATCATCATGAACAATGATGTTTAAAGGAATAACTTATTGTACATAAAAACACAAACAGCTGATTTGTTATGATACATGGCCAGTAACTTCTCTCTGAGGCCTTTTATTTCTTCCAAGTACAAATAAACAATTGGAAGGGCTGAAACTCTTCACTGTGCAAAACTAATTCTCGCAAATGTCCCTCAAAGGGGTGCTTCCCAACTTCCATCTCCAGGAAGCTAGATAAATTAAGGAATCAAATATCAACAACTCGCAACTTCCTAGCGAAATGGCTAAGCTATATCTGAAACATTCACTCTTCTTCTTCACCAATCAAAGAAAATGAGAAGGGAAGGAACTTGTAACCATCTCCAAAGTAAAACTTGTTCTGGAATTCCACCCAATGGAGACGCAATGCATGTAGAAATGCACTAAGGGTTTCCATGACTAGCAACACACCGACAGTAGCAAAGATGAAGACAATAATACCCATTATAAGAATAATGACATTGTTGTACCTGCAATGACAAGGAAAAAATTAGGATATTCAACCAAGCTGATTCTTGCTCAAAGAACAACAAATAACCTCTTTATTTGTACAATTGAGTGGATGAGCGGAAACACTGCGCTTTCATTTAATAGAAGTAGGCTAGCATTCTCTCAAGGCTAAAATCTAATTTTTCAAAAAGATATAAAATTGAGTAAAGAATGTCCACAGCAGGACCAAAATCTTGTGGATCATGAAAACAGAAGATTACAGATCCAGATAAAACCCCGTGACTGGAGAAAAAAAGGGTGGGGGCAGTTGATCATATTGAAAAATAAAATCCAATTTTACTAGATCAATTCAAATACAAATAGCAACTCGAAGGATTTGGATTTTAATTAATCCTACGACTTCCTGAAAACAGCAATTTTTGCTTCATTTGTCCTATTTAAAAATTTTGTTTACTCAGCATATGAATTTTTTTAGCAAATAGCATAAGACATGAAGGTTTAAAACACCAAATGTAACAAACAACAAAGGAGAGGAAATTTGCTTTGACATACCCCCATGCTAGCATCAAAACCTTGTCATAAAACACTGTAGACAACTCTGAGTGAGCCAAACTGCATCAAAAGTAAAAAAAAAAAAAAAAAATCACAGAAACCATTAGCCATTAGTGACAAAATTATGGTATTAGTTATCTCTACAATTTACCCAAACTAATACCCATGATGTCGATACTCTTTTCTAACATTTATAAAAATTTCTATTTGTTTAGCTTCCAAAGGTTGTTTACTCATGTTTTGATTATATTTAAGGTTTTATATTCATTTATAGAAATTAAATGCCAAACCAATATCCTACATTAACTTGTATCATAAAAGTCCATATTTTAGATAACCTTATGGTGTACATCAGACTCTTAATAGTGTTCTCAAGGGTTAATTATAACTGAAGGTGCTTTAAATTTGTCGGGCATCATATGTTTTTTTTATCAAAATCCTTTTAAGTTTGATGTATTTTGTGTAGTATGTAAGTAATATCTTATTCTGAATCAATGACGCTCTTGCATCAAATTAACTTGTGTACCAATATGCTCTGAAAGACAAAGCCTAGCATGCGTTGAGTGCAGTATGAAACTAGTGTATCTAGTACCAAGGGGTTTTCAAAATGCAATTGTTAGCATCCGATCATCTGAAGGATTGAATTATCCGGCCAGTTATTTCAGTGATGTGTCCAATTTAATTCAGGCTCAATACTATTATCGACAACAGTAGAATTGCTAATTATGAAAAAAGATTGGCAGCATTTATCGACAAATACCTTAATGCCCATAAACGAAGGTATGACGCAGTATTTGAAACTGCTCCGAGCACAAACTCTATAGTATGAATGAGTTGATGCACCAGGACTTCACTGAATTCAAATTCCTCATGCTCGCCATGACCTCCATTTGTTGCTTCCACTTGAAGGCTTTCTTCTGCGTGAAGGGGCACGTATGACTCACCCTGGTGCCTCTGCAAGAAAATTAAATTTGGGCAATGAGGCATAAAATCTACACTTGATTAGCTAATAAGTTCAACAAATGTCTCAGAAATTTACACTTTGATGCTGGCTTTTCATGATAAAAGGCTTTGGAAGAAGCATCCAAGGTACAGCCACAAGGGCTAGCAGCAGCAGAACAATCTGAAACACAGGGAAAAAGAAAGTGCAAATAGTAAGATAACCAAAAATACAAATATGTGAAGATAAAAAATTACTATCTCAAACAGATGTTAAAAAGGATAAAAGACCTGAGTCATCTTCTGGCCAGAGAAAAGCTGATTTTCACCCAATTCATCAGTAGGGCTCAAAAACATGTAGATCATTATGTGATATAAATCAGCTTTAGAGCCAGTGCACCACTTCAATACAATGAGAAAGGAGAGGTAGCCAAACAAACTATTTAAAAAAATCATTTGTGGAATAAATTGGAACCTGCAGCAAATAATTCAAAGGTCAGTCACAAAGCCAGCACAAAACTGTAGCTACAGGAAACCACACTGCATTTCACTATAAGACAAAGTATAAATTAAAAATCAAGAAGCAAAAAGAGGACAAAATCATTGTAGCTGGTAGCCTAGTAATATTGCAAATGCTGTCCATTTATTGTCCAAAATCATAAGCACTAGAACAACTGAGTCAGACTTTTAAATACATACCATATATCCACACAACTTCTGAAGAACTTAGCATTAAAGAAACTCATCATGATCCCCAGATTCATTTGGGCAACACCAAGAAGAATTGACATCTTCATCTTTAGGGAGTTAAGGAAAGGCAACTCGCTTCGTGAACCATGCCATACAGGATCTAATCCAAATGGGTATGCATCTCTCACTTTAATCAAACCATCAGTCGTTGCATCCCTGAAATGCAAACGCATAACCACAGATAAACAAAACAATATTATGAAAAATGCAAGAAAAAACAAAGACCACAGTAAGCAATAGTTTTGTATATACTTGCAGGAAGGATCACGGCATGCATAGGCTGACTTTCCAAATAATTCAAATGGGACTGAAAAGAATTCGTTATAGATGAAGCCTGTGTAAATTGAAAAGATTGCCATCATCAAAATAACATATCGACCTCCAAACATCATCTCCATGATGTCACCAAGTTTCTGCAAAAAAAAAATAAATATTTATAAGAAAATAATTATTGAGCAACTATCAGGCCTAGACTGAAATTACAAAGCCAAAATCTATAACAATTGAGGATTGACCTACAGAATACAGTCTTAGTAATCTCCGCATTTCAGGAAACATCACCCTTATGGCTTATATATGGCACTCTAAAAATGAGATATTTTTATAAACTTTGTATATATTTGTGCACCACACCTAGAACATATCGCAGTAATATTTGAATCTTGGTGACAAATATCAATTCATATTAGAGCACAAGGGCTTTATAAGCAAATATCACTATTAAATCTAGGTTTGGCATTGTCCAACAACGAGTTCCAGGTTTAGCATTTAGTGTCAGTTTTCCTATCCAGCAGAAGTTCATATGATTTGTGTTCCTCAAACATGTGGAAGTGAGGACTTTGCTCAGTATAATATTGTTTTTTATTCTTGATTTCTCCCTAATCCAGTATGATAATTTAGTCATAAACTATGTTACTTACATCCCACCTGCACATAGGAGGAGAATATTGTGTGCATATGCTCCTCCAAATGTGCTTTCTTCTGGAAAGAGCTTTGTACAGATGGCTGCAAATTTTAAATTAAAATGCTCTCCTATTTTTTCATTTAAATAATCTTTTACCCATTCTGCATATGCAGTATGTCAGAAGATTTTGTGAGCCCAAAACATTCTAAAGTTCTAATAGATAACTTTCAGGTCAGTAAACAAAGTAGGAAGGAAGCAGACTAAACACTATTTAAGCGTGAAGTTAATTCACAAAACTCATGTTAACACCTTCAGCGATACTTGACTGTTACATTAAGATTAAGAGAATCACCTGACTCCCAAGCTTCTTCTCCCTGGCTACCAGGTATAAAGTTGCAAGTAACACACATAAACCATGCCCCCAATCACCAAACATGACTGCAAACAAGAATGGGAAAGTAACAACTGTGTATACAGTTGGATTTGCTTCTCGATACCGAGCAATCCTGCAGATATGACATTAATTACTTCAGCAATGATGAAAAATGATGCATATGTAGGCAGCTAAAGAAGCTGCACCACCATATAGTCCTTCATGAAGTCATGAGCTATATAAGCTTTTAAGGACATTAGCCACTCAAGTTCAATTATTCAGAAAGCAAAGCAGGCACCATTTCTTACTGATTTGAGCATATTCAATGTAAAAGGCACACATATAGCATGGCATAGAGGCTTGCAAATTTAAAGAGGAGTGAAGACAGAGGTCTGAACAGAGAATTTGGATATAGTTGAAGTTTCAGTAGAATTACACATTTGAACTGAGTGCCGTTTTTACAAATGCAACATTTGGATCATATAACCCACAACACCACTGCACCAGGAGGGGGGGGTGTTAGATTATGTGAGATAGAAGTACTCCGTATAAAGAGGCCTACAATAAAGGGAATCAGCCAAAGACGTTTTAAGCATACACAATATCTTCTCCAAATTTGCATTCCAAAGCCTTCTCATAAGTCAGTCTTATCTTTAAAAAGGATTCACATAGTAGTAAGTGAAACCTCAGAGAATTATATACAAGCTAAATTCTCCTTTGGGTGGAGGTAGGGAGGTTTTATACGGGAATTACACACAAGCATACACCATGTCTTCTCCAAATTACACATGCTGCTAAGGAGAATATAAAAAGGTAAGAAAAGTTGAAGACACAACATTCATAGAACAGCACAGTTAACCTTCAAAGTTAAGATAACTAACCCATATGAATCAACAATCTCCTGAAAAGCAGAAGTAAATTTGTTTGTCCTGAAATAAGTTGGTGGTGACTCCCTTGTATGTAGAACCTGAAATATAGCTTCAACTTGTGAATTTGAGTCCAGCGTCGCCCTGTGCAACAAATCCTGGATCTGCATAGATAAAGCATTACTTCAGTTTCAAAGCCTCAACAAAACCTATTTGCATGCACAATTAACCAAAAATTTACACTTCAGATAGTTAATATTAGAAGTTTACCTGTTTTGTGGCAAAAACTGGACACCACCCTTCAGCCACAAGACATTTTTTCGTTACATCCATGCTGAGCATGTTTAATGTGTGGTAAATGGATTTCTCTTTTCTCACCTTCAAAATAAGAAGAAAAAAAATTCCAAATTTCAAATTTTGACCACAAAACATTGGCAATGCTGAGCAAGAAAATTTACTAAGCGCTTTCAAAGTTTCAATTTATAACACAAACAAAATGCTGATTTGACTTGAGGATTTCCAACAGACCAGAATGTTCCATTGCTCAAACTGATCACCGATAGTCTGCAATAAGTTTCCACGATGCAGAAGTCCAGCGTCAATTGTAGTCCTCAGCTCAGAAAGTCTACCAGAAACCTAAAATCCAACCATGTAAGTTCAGAATTTCGCATTTTCCATGGAAAAATAGGGGCTTTGAAGTCAAAGGTAAGAACATTTCACAAAAAGTAAAAGTTGTACAAGCAAAAGATATCCACTCTAATCAAAGGAAAACTAAAGAGAAGCCAAGGAAGTGAATTTATCACCGCTGCTGTTTTAAGTTATAGTAATCCATTAATCTCTAGGTTTAATGGTGTTTGTGTTTGTTGACATTTCACAAATATTGAGAAAAATGGGGAAGTAAATGTAAATTCACTGTGAGGCAAATGAGCAATTGACAGTCAAGCTGAAACATTTAGAACAAAAAAGGAGGGGAATTGCTAAGAAACGGAAGTAGTTAAGTTGACAAATCAAGGTCTATACTTTTACCGTAAAAAGGCACAACCAAAGCTTATAAATGATGCTAAGAAAAACTTTTCAAGGAAAATATAGCTTGGAAATATGAGAGATAATAGATCCGCAGAATAAACGACATGTTTATGAAAAACTTTCCACCCTCCCCTTCCCACTTCCTCAGCATGCTTCAATTTTTCCACTGCATCAGAAGGGTTTTTTTTTTTTTTTTTTTTGACTGGGGAATGAAGAATGGTGCAGTGGATAGTAATAAAAATTCATCATCTTATCAAAGGTAGATACAAGAAAATAACCAGAGAAAAGGCAAACAAAGTACGTAAACGGTAGACAAATTCCATAAAGCACACCTCTTTCAACATTTGAGCTTGTTTGCCAAAGTCGTCACTGAAAGGATAACGATTAGCTCCAAATGCTTCACATATCTTAAGAATTTTGTTTTTTGCTCTTTCTCCAGAATAGAATATTACAAAGACATTTTTCTCAACCTGAAAATTAGCAGCCAAAAATTAGTAAAAGCACCAGACTAATAGTCACTATGGTTGAAATGGTTCCACACAAACAAAAAAATCCAACCTACAATGGAAACTGCATGCAAATTTTGACAATGGACATTGAATTACAATACAATCCACCTTCTGTCACCCACATGCTGAAGCACTTGAGTAAATTATAGAAGAAATGGGTAATTCTAGTTTTTCAGTTTCTCTTATACTTCTATTTCAGTAGATTCCTATTGATAAATTCCTCATCAAACCCTTTAAGCCATGAGTAAGAATAAAATACAATTATATCCTAGCAGAAGCCCATAAAAAAGGTACCGCAAATAATTACTATTTTAAGACTTCAAGACCTTTTAAAAAAAATAAAATTTAAGATGTTACAGAAAGCTTTATCTCTTGCTATTCAAGCACACTCACCGTAGAAATACAGTGCTGGACTTACTGGTTTGGCAAAGTAAACAGTCCTAGCCACTAGTATGAAGGAATTAAACTAATACAGGGTTACTGATTCTTGGCTGAAAAGCTATGCTGCATTTAAGCAGTATAGCAGCAAAGCACGAAAACACGTTAAGGTGGAAGAGTCCAGGTAACAAAGTCATCTTCAGAGAAAAGTTAATTTAATAATTTATTCCAGATTAGTTTGGGAATAAATGCAACTTTGCACATATTACCTATGACCCATGGCCATTGAGAGTATCAAAGGATTAACCTTGACACTACTAAGAGGAAACAATGACCAAGAAAACCAGTCATCAGCTGAGAGAACTACAAAAATAATACATACATAAACAATACTTCCTTTTCAATCCAAAACCACATCGGTTATAAGTTCCAATTTGTACACCTGTCAAAATTAAGAGGTAGAACTGAAAAGATGCAACGTGGAGGAAAGAAAGAAAGAGTGAACCTAATGATAGAGGACTGGTTCAAAAATTAAACTTGATAAGGAAAAGAATTCTTCCAAAGTATCGAAAATAATGCATGGAAAGGATAATAGTTGAACCTTCTCTCCAGAAGCAGGATCAATCACTGGATTCTCTACTGTAGTCTGCCTTACGAGAACATTGCCCCTAGTAGCACGAAACAAGATCCTTTCAAATGGCATAGATTTCTCCCTGGGTACAAGGCCAGTAAAGAACCCCAGCTGCACCTGCTTTGATGGATCACCCGATTTGTCCTGAACACAAGTCCATCAAAAAATTATTCTAAAGGAAATAAAAGCAGGTAAACAGGAGAAATAAAATCAAAACAGATGATCAAATCAAGTTTACTTGATCCATCAGTAAAGGTGTGTCCAAGGACTCTTCAGTTTGCTGTGCTTCCATTTCTCTCTGCTGAGCAGCCGCGGTTCTTTGAGCTGAATGGAAGAATTCATCGGCCTGAAGGAAAATAAAAGAAAACCATTTTCAATATGATCTGACCAATCAAGATAATTCATGCATAATTAATTACACTATGTATCTTGATATTGCAACTTGGTCTTTGAAATATGTTCCTAAAGATTATGTACTCCAATGTAAGAAAGAATGAGACGCTAAAATTAGTTTTTGCCACCCAAGTACTTCTTTCAGAGCTACAGGAATATGGGTGCCTGAGGTTGTTCAGCTATAGCTTAATCAACACCCTATACAAAAAGTCTTAGTATTCAACTGCTTCACCATGTTGGATGATTATATATTTAACGTGAAAGGGGGCTAACATGGACAGGTTCAATAATGAAGAGCTTCAAAGAAGAATGAATAGCTTACCTTCTGTAGAACAAGTTTATACTCAACAAGTTCATTATAAGTCCGCTGTAACTTTCCATTGTTTGCATTCATCTCAATAAGCTCAGCTTCCAGCTCTCCAAGTTTCACCTGAATAAACACAAAACCGTATGTCACTAAGTCAGTAAGCCATTTTTAATTCCCTTCAAACACAAATTTTATACAGAATCTGGATGTGAACAATGACAAGTGAAATGAAAAAGGAGAAACATACCTCCAAATCATCCACTTTGATATCATTCGTCGTGAAAGACTTTGGTGGAGTTGAAATGCCAGCATTGGCCATTTGTTCCCTAAAATATCGCAATCTACGTGCCATCTCTCCACATTTTTTAATCTTCAGAAAGAATTACAAAACCAAGTCAACCAAAATGCAAAAAAATATAATTGAATAAAGCAAACTTGAGATTTTCTGATTTAGAAAGTTTTTAAACTTTGAATACAATGGACAAAATGGTCAAAATCAACCGCTCACTTAGATGTCCTTGATTATTTTTCTGTGAAGTATTAGATCAATCAGTTGCCTTTTGGACCTTACCAAAGACAAATATTTTTACAACTGTAGAGGTAAGGCTAAAAGAGCTTCAATGCATCGCACAAGTGAGGCTATGAACAAATCATGTCTTAAGCTCTTTTCGGGATCAGTCAAACCAAGGAACAACACAGGAAATGCATTGTATTAAGATTACTTTAAGAAGTATAGACCAACAGTTCAAGGATGTCCTTTTACTTAAGCTAGAGATGTCAAAAATATGGTAATCACGAGTCCATGTATGAAAAGAGTCAATAAGTAAGCCTTCATTGATTAACTGTTACAAGGACTAGTTGCTAATCAGCTGATACGCCTCATTGAACAAAAGGATCCACATCCACACTCAACAAACTGAAAATTGATATGGGTTAGGCATAAAGACCCAAGGAGGACTTGTAATGCTGAGTTTAACTTATTTAAGTACTAAACACATGCAAGCTGTCAAATATTCTAAGTGTATGCACTCCGTTGGGGTAAAATGATGAAGTGGGATATGTTCCACCAATAAACACTTCAACGCAAGTTTGCAACATGATTAAGTATGAGCCTAGAAAGACATTTTGCATACTGGAGGCCAGATTGAAGATAAATAAATGGCGTAATGAAATTTCAACATACCTGATTCGCGTAAGTTCGCTGGAAAGGACTCTTATCTGAATTTAACTGGGGAAAAAAAAAGGATGTCAGAAAAGTATATATCACCCAGTTATTACACAATGCCTCCTATAAACTAGGTGAAAGCAGAAAAGTTTGGAGAGAATAACAAACAGAGAAACAGCACAAATAGACCAACATGATGTTGAGCGAACATCACTAGCCTAAAAATTATTACCAACACATTTTTACAAGCTAGGTACACTAACTCTTAATCTCAAGTGTATAAGTGTCATGAGGCAGGCCATGAACCCATGATGTTCAAGGCAGTAGCTACATTTCTGTTATTAATCTTATTATATCGACCATACATCACACTCTCTTTCCATTATTCCAAGGTTCGAAAATACTGGCGCATCAATCCATATAATTTCTCCACACATTAAACTCTTCCCTTCAATATCACTAGATTCCAACACCTTAAGAAGCTATCACCTCACAAGTGCAAAAGCACATAACCTCAACATACCTCAGCACCCAAAGTACCTTCACAGCCGACAGGTAAGCAACTCTATTCACAAAAAATCCTACTTTCATGGATAAATTCGTATGAAAAGTATCAATCTCAACAATGCGACACAATGCATTTGTCAAAGCCAACTTCAATCCGTTGCCTTTCTAAGTCATCAAAACCTAAATACTTTAAAATAGCCAGCACATCAGTCCATATACTCTACCATACATCAAACTCTTCCCTTCACCATCACAACACCTCAAAAAGCTGTCATCTCCCAAATACTATTCACATAACCTTGGTCCTCGGTGTACCTCAGCACTCAAACCACCTTTTGCAGCAAACAAGTTATCAACTTTACTCACAAAAAACCCTTCTTTCAAGAATCATTCCATGTCATAAGTATCAATCTCATCAACGCAACACATTGCATTAATCAAACTCAGCTTCACTCCTTGACTTCAAATAACTTCAAAAACCTAAAGACTTAAACTTTAAATCACAAAAGCATCAAAACCACACACACACACACACACACCAAAAAAAAAAAAATTAAAAAAAAAATAAATAAATAAACAACTCCAAAACAATTCCGCAACAAAAAGTACCAAAATTTACAGCAACAACAAACGATCGTCAATATAACACATACACGGATACACCTGCTACAAAAACCCTAAATCATCAAAAAAAATCCAGAAAAAGACAAAATATGATCCAATTATCAATCAGATACCAAAATTGCAATTAAAATTCAGCAGCAAAAAAACAATCAATAATCAGAAATTCCGATGAACAATCAAACAATAAAATTAAAACAAAAAATCAATGAATGAATCAATTTGAGTCAAAGGACGAACATCTTTGAATTGGAGAAGGCCGAGGTCACCGAGATAAGAGACGGTGAGATGAGAAGACTCAAGCGGAATGATGAGCTGCACCAATTGCATCTCTTCGGAGCGCATCAGATCCATGGGAGGACAACATCCCACCATTGTTGTTGTTGCTACTTTCTCTCTCCTCGATGAGATTGCTTTCTCTCTCCTCCTCTGGTGTATTTGTGTGTGTTTCCTCTGTTTGTCTTTGGCTAAGATATATGATTTGAGATGATGACAGTGTCACGGAAACAGGAGAGAGAAACTGTGAAATTTTGTGGTTTTATCATTTATTTATTTTATTTATTTAATTAATTAATAATGATTCGATTGATTAATCTTCTACCACGTTCGTCTGACAGCTATAACCTGGTTTTATGTTTTCTTACTTTCTTAAGATAAATAAAGGATTACTGTGACTGTAAATTGTAAACTTTTGAGTTGATAATTTATGGCCTTATGGGCAATGATTAAGTAGAGTTAAGCGGCTAAGTAAATTATTATTGATCTAAGGAGAGTTGTCGACTACATATAATCTTTACCTATGCGACTTAGGGTTTTGAGTTGATAACTTGGTATCCAAAACAATATTAGTACGAACTACGGAGTAATTAGTACAGTATGTTTTAAAATTTAGCTGGGTATTAGATCTTAGTTTTATGCAAAGTAATACCTTTGACTTCAGTGAATACCCACAAACTAATATATTGTAGATTTTTATTTGACATGTTTTTATATATATCGTCAATCTTCTACATGCAACATCTATTTTACTTAAGACAATTTCTTAACTATGAGCTACAACTACAATGTTTGGAATATAAAAGATAAAAGATTTCTTCACTTTTATAATTATCTCGAGAAATATGATAAGATGAAAATAAGTTAGGTTAAACCATTGTGCACTTGAATACATGTCAACATGTTTTGGTGTCATGTTAATTTGTATAATTATGCCCAAAAAATATTAGAAATGTGTTAAGCTTAACTTATTTCGATTTACCCGAACTTGTTTTAGTAGTTTGAAATTGTTTAAACTTATATGAATATATTTTGTTTGAGCTTGTAAATTTTTTTAGAAGAATACGAAGCATAAGGATTTGTTTGAAGTAGGTCAAAAAAGGTAAGGATTAATGAGTACATATCTTAAGTTGAGACATATATTTAGCCACAAACCGCTTGTTATATCTATGTCTTGTGCCCAAGATGTATACACGAGTCATAACAATATTGTGTACTAGTATCTGGTAGTAGCTATTGCTTGCGTTATTTAGTACGTACACTATTTGTTTCCATTTGGTAAGATTGATGGCGGACAAGGTAATGGAGGTACTAAGTTTAAAAAACAATAAAAAAAATTAAAAAAAAAAAAGAAAAAAAACTACACTTTGACTCATATTTTAAATAGCGTACAATTTGTAAAGTAGATATACCATAAGGCACAATTTGTAAAAAAAAAAAAAAAAAAAAAAAAAAAAAGCACAATTTGAAAGCAGACTTGAATTGTACGTGAAAACCATACAAAATACGCCACCTATTTGACCCAATATGATCATTTAGGCCAAATTATATGATTGCCAAAAAATAAAAATATTTACGAGTATATACACTCAGGTATCAATAAGAGTTGGCTCAAATGGGTAAGCAACTTGATGTCGCTTAAGGAAAATCTCGAGTTCGAGCCTCACCGAATGCTTAAAATTCTTGTTGAGAAACTCACCTACGTAAGCCAAGGTGTGCAACCCCATGTGGGGCAAACTCGGCGAAAATGGCAATTGCCAACCCGATTTTCTCCACTCATCAATCAATGAAGAGAAAACTTGAAACACAAAATAGGGACCAAAATGAACTGAACTCATCACCTTCCACGAGTATACTCTACAGATAAGATGTATTCACAGTAGAAAAACTCGAGCTACTTATCTTCAAGCTATTCATCAATGGAGGTAACAACCATGTCTCAGGCTATGCAACTCCATGCTCTAGCACTCAAATCAGGCGCACAACCCCACCATCAAAACTACAGCAAGCTCTTCACTTTCTCTGCCCTTTCACCTTCAGGTGACCTCAATTATGCGCGCCTTATTCTCGATTGTCTTCGAACCCCAAATTCTTATTACTGGAACACCATGATTCGAGCTTACTGCGAAAGCTCAGACCCTTATCAATCAATCTTTCTTTTTCTTGCAATGCATAGTGATCAATCTCATGGTTTCGTGCCGAAACCGGATAAATTTACTTACCCTTTTGTTTTGAAGGCTTGTGGTAGATTGAGAGATACCCAGTTGGGGAAACAGGTTCATTGTTTGATTTGTAAAATGGGGTTTGAGTCTGATAAATATGTTTGTAATTCTTTGATTCATATGTATGGGAAATGTAGTGATTTGGGGTGTGCACGTAAGGTGTTTGATAATATGCGTGAGAGAGATGTTGCTTGGACTTCTGTGATTGATGGGTTAGTTGATAATGGTAGAGCTGTCGAAGCGATTAGGTTGTTTGAGGAGATGGTGGAGTGTGGTGTGGAGCCTAATGATGCGACTATTGTGTCAGTTTTGAGGGGTTGTGCTGAGGCTGGGGCGTTCGAGGTTGGGAGAAGAGCTCATAGGATTGTTGAAGAACAGGGGATTGGTTTGAGGGCTAATGTGAGTACTGCTTTGATTGATATGTATTGTAAGTGTGGGAAGTATTCGACGTGGTTTTGGATAAGGATGTGTGTGCTTGGACTGCCATGATTCATGGCCTTGCTAGTCATGGTATGATAAGGGAGGCTGTTGATTCTTTTGAAGAAATGAAAAAATCGGGTGTAATGCCTGATGAGCAGACCATGACTGCTGTGCTAGCAGCATGTAGGAACGCGGGCTGGGTGACTGAAGCTTATCGTTACTTTGAAGACATGAGAAAGAAATATGGAATCAAACCTAACCTTCAACATCATGGATGTATAGTTGACCTTTATGCACGATCAGGGCAGTTGGATGAGGCTGAAGATTTTATCAGGAAGATGCTGATTCGGCCGGATGCAGTGCTGTGGAGAACTGTCATATGGGCGTGTAAAATTCATGGAGATAATGATCGTGCAGAGCGTTTGATAAAGGAAATGAACGTATTTTTGGATGACTGTGGGAGTTATGTACTTCTCAGTAATATTTACGCCTCTGCTGGAAAATGGCATGACAAAGCTATTTGTAGGGAAACAATGAGCAGACAAGGGCTTGTGAAAACACCAGGTTCAAGTAAGATTGAGGTTGATGGTAGCGTTCATGATTTCACTGCAGGAGATTCGAGTCACTTTGAAGCACATTATATTTATAAGAAGTTGGAAGAGATATACGAGAGGTTAAGAGAAGAAGGATATAAACCTGAACTTTCAGAGGTCTTGCTAGAAGTTGATGATGAAGAAAAGGCTATACAATTGCTTCATCATAGTGAAAAACTTGCTGTTGCCTTTGGACTGATGAAGATGAAGCCAGGTTCCCAAATTAGAATCGTAAAGAATTTGCGATCTTGCGAAGATTGCCATTCTTTTATGAAATTGATTTCTAGAGTATATGAAAGGGAAATAATAGTTAGGGATCACATTCGTTTCCATCATTTTAGGAATGGGGTCTGCTCCTGTGGAGATTTCTGGTGAACCTATCTCCAATTACCCCCTCTCCACTTCTTTTTGTTGATGGAATGAATGTGCTAGGTCTTTGTTAGGCATTACACAATTTGTAATTAAGTTGAGAAAAAGTGGAGGCATGTCTGAAAGATCTCATCATTATCCATCATACTTGCAGGAAAGCAGGCCTGTCTATTAAACACCAATACAACAAATCTTTACAAGATGCCTCTCGTTCCATATCTCCAACTGCTTGACTCTTTATTTTCGCTGCTTGTTCCTGAATTTCAGGTTTCATGGGAATATTTCTTTTGATACTTTCAACCAGCAGTTCAAACACAGGACCAACTATCTAATGACAAGAACTCAAATCACAAAAATTTGTCTAAGATCATGGCTTTATATAATAATAAGATTAATAACACTACAACAGATTTTGCTGGAACCTTACAGAGTGGTCTTTTTACAATGAACTATTGTCACCAAAATTCATGAAACTTGTACATGCCAAGTTTTAGGTGTGATACAGTTGGACTGTTTCCTTGATGAATATTCTTCTGATTCTGAGGTTTGCTGCATTCCTCTTCTATATTCTCTTTACACTATCACCATGAACAGATACAAATCCCTCGCTTGCTAGAGTTGATAATGCATTCCGAACCTGATACATTGGAGAGTAAACAAGTCAATACCAATCAAATAATAAAAAAACAAATATAAACAGATAGATGCTATAACTTTACATCATTAAGGTGGAATTCAGCACCAGAACTCTGCTTCTTCAGCTCTTCAAGCAGCTGCCAGGTGAATATATCAAATATCAGAATCAGACATCACAAATTTGATACACAGATTCTTCATGGACACAAAATATAAATTGTTACCTCTAATGTGCGTATTGATGATCCGCCAAGTTGCATTTTGTCCATAATTACATTGCGGGTTGCAGATACCACTTGTTCACGTCTTATCCTTTCACTTGCTGATATTCCAGTTGTAATTAGATCCATATCTATGGTTCCTGAGAGAAAGAAATTCAAAATGTGAGATTCGAGTACTCGCAGCAACATTTAATGCTGGACAAGGTATAGGAACTACGTAGTAATTTAGAACTATGACAGCACAACGAAAATGAGTTTGTTAATTGCTATACATAGTTCAACGCAAAAGCTGTTCACGTTTTCTCTAATACCACGAGAGTCCATTTATTGTAGGATATAGATCGAGAGAAGTACTCCATCTGAAATTAAATATTTAAGGATAGAAATACTGCAACTACTTAAAATGGCAATGCTTTTGGGTGTAATCATGTATTGTTCATAATTGAGAGAGGTTTGGGAGTTGGGACGAGGAAACTAACACCAGATATTAACAGGTTTAAGTGTGAAATGGTCTATTTCTCCACCAATGATGACACACATACCAACTTACAAGGAAAGAACTTGAAGATTAAAGAATGTATAATCATGTATTGTTCGTAAATAATAGTCTTAAGAAATGGTGCATTTTGGAAGATAGACTCTAACTAAAGGATAGATATTGCGGTTGACAAGCACAAGTATCTGCAGTCATCCTTGCTGTTCTGTAAATATACAATCGAATGTGCATTTACCTGTAGAATGATCAGTTGCTGATTGTTGCATTGCAACTTC